CCAATCTTTCGTTCATTTCTTATTGCTGGAATTTCACATTCGTTTCTTCTTGTTGGATGACTAAACCGGACGATGGTAGAGATGGTCAGCCCCGCCCTGCTCAGCCTCGGGAGCGGACGAGTTCTCAGCTGGTGCATCGGCTGCTTTTGTCTCTTTGCCGTCTTGTGGTTTAGGGTTTTCTGGGCGTCTGTGTCGATAATTGAAGTTGCGGCAGTACCGACGTTGAGGCGGCTGCTAATCTTGGGTCTCATCTCCTTGATTCTCTTTATCCTCGTCATTGCCGTCCTCTCTGGGCTGTCTTTGGCGAGGAGGGGCCCTGCGGAATCATGGTCTATAACCCCGATATATATTCTGTCTTACTGGTGGTCTACCTTGTTCTCCCGCACCCTGGTTGTCAGCACCCTCCATCACGTCTCCCTGTACAGGAGGGTTGGAACACTGTGGTCGACGCCCATGGGTCTCCGCATGTAGTAAGGTGGGAGCCTTCGCGTGCGGTAGGGCCGGCGTTGTTGGGCCTGGCCTTCAGGAGCACTCTCTGCTCCCTCATTTTTTTCCCCACGCTCACTGTTCTGATAATTCTGCTGGTAATCGCGTGGAGGACCTTGCGATGTGGAAAGCGTCTGTAATGGTTGCAGTCTGCTGCATATTGACAGCCTGGAACTGGAATCCACCAGGGCCTGTGACGTTTGCTGCCTCCACACCCTTTTCTCCTTCAACAACATCAAACTCCACAGTTTCTCCATGTCCTACACTGCGAAGGTGCTTCCTGGGGTTGTTCTTCTTTATGGCAGTCTGGTGTACAAATACATCTTCCTTGGTGTCATTCCTGTTGATGAAACCATATCTGTTTCTTACATTGAACCATTTTACTGTCCCCAAAACCTTTGTTGCAATGACCTTCTTGTCCCCACCGGCAGGCGCCACCGATGCGAGACCGCCCAACCACCGCTCCCTGCGCAGCTGCCGCTGCCGTGGTGCCGGGCTTGGAGTCGGCAGCGCTGAGGGCCGGGGCAGCAGGCGGCTGCTGGGTCTCGGCCTCGCTGCTCACGGTTACGGTGACGGTGACTGGGGCCGGCTGCGGCGGCTGCGGCTCCTCCCGATGTGTGACGGTAACTAGGGCAGCGGCGGGGGTGGGGCTGCACAGCGCTCTCTGGGGTCCGCTCTAAATAAACTTGTAAAAAAAAGGAACTTACCTCTTTGGTCTCAGCCACAGAAGCGAGATGACAAAGGGGACGTCATCATTTGGTAAGCGTCGCAATAAGACACATACGTTGTGCCGCCACTGTGGCTCTAAGGCCTACCACCTTCAAAAGTCGACCTGTGGCAAATGTGGCTACCCTGCCAAGCACAAGGGAAAGTATAACTGGCATGCCAAGGCTAAAAGACGAAATACCACTGGGACCAGTCGGATGAGGCACCTAAAAATTGTATACTGCAGATTCAGGCATGGATTCCGTGAAGGAACAACACCCAAACCCAAGAGGGCAGCTGTTGCAGCGTCCAGTTCATCTTAAGAATTTCAACAATTAGTCATACAATAAATGTTTTGGTTTTTAAAAATCTAAAGAGAACTTAGAGGTGAGCTGTAGGGAAGGTCACAGTGCCAGTGAGCTGGCTAATTTGCCGACCTCTTTATCTCTAAGGGGAAGAAAAGCTACACTAGAGAAAGAAAGAAGTGATTTGTAATGGAATTATGTGAGCCATTTTGGTATTATATATAT